TATCTGGAGCCCCAAACTTTTCCGATGCTTTGGGATGCGTGGATTCAAGATTTCAGTTCAAGCCCATCTCTAGTACTAACACTTGTAAAGAAAATCCCTCACACTGCACCCAACCCTAAGAATGGACACTTTTATTTTACTTGGCCAAGCTTAGTATTTGTATATTAGTACATTATTTCTATAATGTTTTGAACTGGGGTTTACAATAATTGCATACATTGGGGAAGACTGTTTATACAGCAACTGAAATGTGCAGAGCAAGAGCTGAACTGACACTGATGGAGGAACAGAATGTTCAGAATCATAAGGGATGACCTCATAAAAGTTGAGAAGCTCTGCATGACCTCAGCTGCCCTGCACAACCTTAATTGATTTCAGAATCCAGAATGATATTAGCTTTTGCTCTTAGGGACTATAGTAGTTTTCTATGCCCATTGTTTTAAAAAGAAGATACTAATTTTGGGTGTCCAATTTGAAACACCATCTTTAGGCCTAATTTTCAGAAGTACTGAGCACTGACATCTCCATCTGAAGTCAGTAGGAGCTGCAGGTACTCAGCATCTCTGAAATCAGGGCCAGAATGTCTCATATTGAACACCCTGACAACTGAGGCACACACAACTAATTAGTTCAATCAATCTTATAATTTGAACTGCTAAAATTGAGCTAAAGGTAAATAATAATCCCTCATTCTCACATAGTGTTTTCCATCAGTAGATCTACAAGCATTTTACAAAGGTCAGTATCATTATTCTCATTTTACAGATGGGGAAAATGAGGCACAGAGAGGTGAAGTGACTTGTCCAAGGTCACACAGCAGACCAGTGGCAGAGCTAGGAATAGAATGCAAGTCCCATTCAGGGCTCTGTCCACTAGGCCACACTGCCTTCACTGTTGAACTATGACTGCATTGCTATTAAGTGAGGTTTTCAATTGAGCTAAATTAGAAAAACTCTCCTATGAAGAGAGATTGAAAAGATCGGAAATGTTTACAATAGAGAGGACATGGCAAAAGTATACAAAATAATGAATGGTATAATAGGTAAGGTAGATTAGGAGCTTCTGTTTTCCCCGTCTCATAACAGAAACAAGGGGACATTCGAGGAAACAGAGAAAAGGCAGATCCAAACTGCTAAAAAGGAACACTTTATTATATAACACATAATTAGATTGTGAACCTTGTTGCCACAGGATGTCAGTGAGGCCAAGAATTTAGCAAGGGTCAAAGAAGGATTGAACATTTACATGTATAACAAGAATATCCAGTAATAATGGTTAATGTTAACAAAAAAAGTACTGGAAATCTCATGTTTCAGATTTTAAACCAATCTCTAGCTATTAGGGATTTATATAAAACGTGTGTGTGTGTGTGTGTGTGTGTGTGTGATGGAGTGGGGGAGGGAGGAGCAGATTACCCCACATTTACCTGCTGTTGGTTTTCTTGCATCTTCCTTTGAAGCATCTGGTGCTGGCCACTGTCAGAGACAGACAGGACCGGCGCTTCCATTTAGGCGACCTAGGCAGTTGCCTAGGACACCAGGATTTGGGGGGGCGGCAATTCAGCGGCGGTGGGTCCTTCCGCACTCCTTCACTCGCTCCAGGACCCCGCCGCCGAAGTACCCCGAAGACCGGGAGCGCGGAAGGACACTCCCCCCCCCCCCCGCCGCAGAATAGCCGACGACGACCAGGAGCAAGGAAGGACCCCTGCCTAGGGCGCCAAAAACCCTGGCGCCACTCCTGGAGACAGGGCACTGGACTAACTGGACCATGGATCTGAGCCAGTCTGTCAATTTCCATGTTTCTGTGCTCTCTTACAAATGGGCAGGGTTAAAAAAAAGAAATGGGAAGTAAGTTAGTGTGCAGTGAGGTTACTCCATGCCACACGGGAAGTACACACATTGGGTAATGACCCAATACAAGTCATCAGCAGGACCTTCCATACTAAAGCACAGACCTCTACCACTAAAAGAGTAACTCTTTTAGTTAGCAGTTGTTATTCTTTATGTGATCTAGTCACTAGCTGGGGACACAACCCAGACTTTACAAACATGTTACATAGTGCATTTTGAAGGAGCAGGCCATTGGTGCATTCTTATGCTCAAATTGTAGTCATAGACTATCAGGGTTGGAAGGGACCTCAAGAGGTCATCTAGTCCAACCCCCTGCTCAAAGCAAGACCCAGACAGATTTTTGCCCCAGATTCCTAAATGGCCCCCTCAAGGATTGAATTCACAACCCCAGGTTTAGCAGGCCAATGCTCAAACCTCAAACCACTGAGCTATCCCTTCTGATTATTTGAATGCCCTGCACACATTATTCAAGCATGGGAATAATCACAACTCTTGGTTGTTTCATACATTTCCTTTACTTTCCCTTTATATGTATATATTGAAAAAACAAATAAGGAATTTGATGCCTAGAGCTATGTTGATCCAAAGAGATGGTTGCAAACCAAAATGCACAAGTTCTGCAGGCACATAAAAGGGAAAATATGGCCTCCTAGTGATTAAAATATCAGTTAAGAAGTGCATACGTATGGATTTAAAGGAGTTCAGCATTAAATCGTAAATACTATTTTTATGATTTATAATATTTTTCAGAGCCCATTACACATCAAATTCTGTTCTGCCTCAGGTCCCAGGTACCACAGTGACTTCTTGAGCTTGATTCCATGTGAGGCATAGAAGATTCCAAACTGATGCATATTCCAGGGAGGAAGAACTTTCCTAAACTAATTTCTTAGCCCTGGTCTACACTGGGGGGATCGATCTAAGTTACGCAACTTCAGCTACGTGAATAACATAGCTGAAGTCGACGTACTTAGATCGACTTACCATGGTGTCTTCACCTCATGAGTCGACTACTGCCGTTCCTCCGTCGACTCTGCGTGCGCCTCTCACAGCGTTGGAGTACAGGAGTCGATAGGAGAGCGCTCGGGAGTCGATTTATCGTGTCTAGACTAGACGCAATAAATCGATCCCTGCTGGATCGATTGCTGCCCACTGATCCTGCAGGTAGTGTAGACATACCATTAGACTGCTCTCTGCTTGACACTGCCCCTTTAAAATGTCCTCTTCTGCACTCCACATCAGTTGCAAGTGAGCTTACCACATATCCTGCTTGGTGGTGGTGCTTATTCTTCAGAGACAGATTGCTGAGACTATTCAGCTCTGTGCAGCAAGGGGGCGCCTATAAAATTAAAGGCTGTATAGGCAGTTGTGTTTTTTAATGTTTGCTACTTTTACTGTGCAGTTTTCACAGCTTGTTTACTGCGGTTTATTCCTGCTTCAGGAGTCCAATGTTAGTCTGCACTGTCCCTGCGGAACTCAAACTCAGTATTGTAGAAACACCTAATTGCTAAGACACTTCTACGTGTGCTTATACATAAGTGAGGGTTCCGAGATGACATCAGAAAGAATTAACTGAGATTCCATATTTATCCAAATGTTTAACTGTCTCTCTCTCTGATGACAGTGTAAATTGGTTCTTCTGACAGCCATAAATTCCTGCTTTGACCATAATATTATATACTATCACAGACCACTCAGATATATGCCATAAAAAGCAATTCTCTTTGTCTTTAGCTGCCAGTTCTTTGTTCTAGTGAATAGGATAGATAGCGCCTTTGTGCCATAAAAGCTAACCTTCTGTCTTACTTTAATCTTAGTGAGGAGGTGAAATACCTCTAGGATTCATTCTTTTATCATTATAAAATAGGTCATGATCCTCTCTAATGTGGCTGCACTATGAGGAAAGGGAATAATACACAACTTGTGTAAGAGCCACCCAGAAAAGCAGTCCCTGGGCTTGTGGGAGCACACAAGCAAATATTTTGTAAGCAATAGGGTCAAATCTTGCAGCCTTTGCTGACCACAGTAGTCATTAGTCACACAAGTAGTTTCTTTGGGGTATTCAGTGGTGATATGTAGCATGGTGCAAGTCAGACTCTCTTATACTTGGTTAGATTCCCTGAGACATACTTACAACCACTTATCAATATGTAAGGGAGTCCAAGTTAGTGTAACTTAACATCTTTTGCAGGCCGCTTGGAGTGTAGGTTCAAGCAGTATGTGGCTATTTTAACTTTCACATTCTTACACCCTCCTGTTAGTTACTTGCCTGCTGCATTCCTTTCTTCTGGCCCCTTAGCAGGCATATTACATCAGTTTAGATTCCCTTACATTCAGAGGATCAAAGTTAGACTCAGTGGGACAAGTTCTGAGGTGATGTGAGGGAGGTGTAAATTACACCTTTGTAAGTGGGTGTGAAACTAAATAAGTGTAAGCACGAGGCGGGCTTGGTGAAACATACATGTTGTAGGGGCTGGAAGGAGGTATGAATTACACAAGTGAGGCTCTTAATAGACTTCTTTAGACTCTCCTTTGTAACTGGCCATTGATTTTAATAGGACTACCTGCATGAGTAAAAATACTTGCATGAGTAAGTGTTGCAGGATTATGCCCATAGTGATTCTGAATATCTTCAAGTTTTTATAACATGCATGCTATTGGTTAAAATGTTCTAAAAATGACTGAAAAGAAAAAATATAATTGGAGATGTACTGTATTTCTGGTTTAGATTGGGACTATACACTTTTCTTACTCAGCTGAGCAAAGTTGAGAAGAATGTTGATATATTGCCCTAATCGAATGAAGAACACATTTTTTGTTTCCTTTTATTAAAGAACACCCACTAGAAAGCTTTGCAATCATACAACACCAAATCATGCAGTTTTCTCTATGTTCTGCTTGGAACTGCATTTCTTTTGATGAATGGCAGATATATAAACTTTCATCAAATCTTTCTCACACACACACACTTACCCTCATACACCTAGTGTTAATTGTTAATTTGCTCTACTGTGGTCAGTAAAATGAGGTAATTGGGGTTTATGTATGAAGCTGTTCTGCCTGTGAGGATCCAATGACTAGAAAAACACAGAATCTTCTGAAACCATTCCCTATCCCTTTTTTGGTAAGTGCTATGCAAAGTGACTCTGGCGTCATTCACTGCCCACCCCATTATGTTAATCTTTCTGGCTTTACATATCTCCTCCCAAAGACCAGCCTCTGCTAAGAACTCTACACTTAGCTGTCAGAGATACAAGAGCGTACTCAGTAAATGCTTGCTTTACTTCATCTACAACATTTTGTGCCATGGAGCAATGTTCTTTGAATCTAGTGTAACTGCTTTAACAAGGTGTTACTTTGAGTTTCTGCATTAGAAGCTCATCTCAACAGAAGAATGCAAAGCAGGAATTGTTAGCGTTTGGGCAGCTATTTGGAAAACATAGTTTCTATGCAGGATTTTAAACTACTGAAATTAGGCTTGGGTTTGGGGTTTTTTTATCTTCAAAAGAAGAGCTAGTAAGACTAAACCACAAGTCCTGGGCCAGATAAACTGAAGCTGAAACTGTATTTTTTTTAACTGTAAGAACCATAAGTATGAGACACCAAGAAGTTCCTGCTAGTGAAGCAAATGTATTATATACAAGGATAGGACCTTCATGTACAGGTAACAATATTACAGTCAGCTCTGTGCATCACATGAAGGACAAACCTTGCCTCACCAAAAGAAGAGGATGTCCCAGTGATACTTGGACCGAGAACCAAGCTACCAGTACTCATATGCAAAAACAAACCATCAGCAATCAGTTCCACAGCTTGGGTAACAGCGAATTAAACCGCAGCGATGAATGCTACACAGGTACGTTTTGTATGACCTAATGTTTTGTATACTTGTGCTCCCACAGTAAATATATTTTTGGTGAATGGGATAGTTGTAGGCATAAAGACCAAACGCTGTTCCCTGTTATACGCATGCTGTCCCAGTAATATTAATGGGGTTGCAAAGGTGTAAATGAAGACCAAATTTGGTCTGAAATGCTTTTCATCCTAAACTCTTAAAATTATGATTCTACCAATGTAACCCTGCAAGGATCTGTGGTTTGTGCTTCCCGCTGAGTTAAAAAAGACTGCATGTTCAAGTGTTGCATTTTGAAATCCCAGAGGGGTCCCAGGTCTAGATTTTGCTATAAATTTAAATTCCAGTCCCTCTTTGTTCCTAAGGATGTTGAGTTCTGTGTCATTGAAACCTTTGCAGCTTTCAGAAAGGCCTGGCCTAGCACAGCTCGTGGAAGTGGCACTCGCTGCCATGGCTGTACTAAATGCTATGTCCTATGCTGAGCACTTTGGCAACGAGAGCGGGGCTGACTCATTTAGGCTCACCAAAGAGCCCCATAATTACACACGTGGACCGAAAAGAAAAAAAAATCACGGCTTTTTGGAGGAGCAGGAAGAGGAACTATTTGAATGTGATTTATCTGAAATTATTAACAGCAGCTCAAAAGGAGGAAGGACACTATCAAGAAAAAGTTTCTGAGTTATTGACCGATTTAAAAAAAAACGTGTGTGATAGTACAAACTATTGCTAAACCAAGAGCTGGTCTAGTGCACTGAGAACAGTGCTAGGAGTAAGGCACTTCTGAAGTCTAATCCTGGTTCTGCCACTGATTTAGTTTATAGTTCTGGGCAAATTACTTAGGCCCCAATCCAGCAAAACATTTAAGAAGATGCTTAATGTTAACTACAAGTAGTCCCATTTATTCACATGCTTAAAATTAAGTATGTACTTACTTGCTTTCCTGGATCAAAACATTAACTTCTCTATGTCTGTTTCTCCACAAGTAAAATGAGGAAACTAATACTTAACTAGGATGCTGTAATGTTGAATATTTGTATTAGGCTTTACGAATATTAAATGTATGCTAATTATTATGACCCTTCCTAAGATGACTACTGAATGGGCTGGAGTGTTAGGTTATATATAATAACAGTGAGCATGGAGATGTCAGAGAGTCTTGAGTGTTTATTAAGCAATTCTTTGTTCTTGGCACAGTCTCACTGGTTTAGTGGCACAGTTACTGCTGGCATAGCAGCTCTGCTTAAATTACATTATTGTGATGTGACTTCCAAAAATACTTACAACACGCACTTGTTTGAAAGGAGGCCTAACGTTTTTTCACAAACTGTAGTCTTTGAGGTTTTAAAAAGTCTTTGTTAAGCCCTATCCAATGCCCCCATTGTGCTTGGAACTGTACTGGCCACTGCTATGTACATAATGTATCTATATGCTGTGTTTGTAAACATCACAGGGAGCAGGCTTATAGCCAAGTTATTATGACCAGTGTGAACAAGGATATTTTTAGAAAAAATCCTTCATAGCTCCATGCTATAAAAGCACGCTATTGGCGTGGGATAATAAATAGCACCGTTTGGGTAACTCCCACTCCCCACAGAACAAACAGAGGGTGCTTGAGCCCTATAGCAACAGAAGTTGTGGCTAGTACAGTATTAATGCAAGGGGGTGAACATGACCTAATAAGTAATGGCCCAATCCTGCAAAGTCTTGGTCACATGATTGGCAGTAGTGGGATTATTCATGTGAATATGAGCTATTTGTGTGATGAAGGATTTGCAGGCTCGGGCCCTAAAAACATAGGAAAGATATTATAAAAGAGCGATTCTAAAAAGCATTATTTGGTCCTAGTTAGCTGGACGTGCTCTGTCCTTTTCTTTTTCCTAAATACAACAGAAATGGAATCTAAGTTTCCCGAGCAGGCTTGAATCATTGTTGATCTGAGTGGGGCTGTGTAACTCCCTATCTCATTCCCATCACAACTTTCCCCACAAGTTGTATCTATATCATGCTATTTGAAACGGAGGTTGACAATGTATATTTATTTGCCTTTTATATAGTGTCTTTCATCAGCACATTGTATGGTATACAGGAATCTCTTCCGTGAAATGTAGGGTACGTCTACACTGCAATAAAACACCCACGGTTGGCCTCTGTCCACTGATTCTGGCTTGTGGGCTTGGGCTGCGGAGCTATAAATTGCAGTATAGACGTTCAGGCTCAGACTGAAGCCTGGGCTCTGGGACTCTCCCCCCTCACAGAGTCCCAGAGGTCAGGCACCAGTCTGAGCCTGAACGTCTGCACCGGAATTTTACAGGAATTGTACAGCCCTGTAGCCCGAGCGAGCCTGAGTCAGCTGACACGGGCCAGCTGTGGGTGTTTAATTGCAGTGTGGACTAGTTTAGATTGGACTAGAGCTGGTTGAAGCCTGAAATTTGTGTTCTGCTGAAAATTCCAACACTTCAAAATTTTCTATCATCCCAGTCTGAAACAAAAAGACAAAATTTTTCACAAAACAGAAATTCTGAAAAAAAGTTTCAATAAGGTTGAAGTGCTTCGTTTTGACTATCATTTTTACTTAAAAGTCAAATGATACAATTGAAACAAAGCACTTTGACCTTATGAAAACAAAGTGCTTTGACTTTGTTGAAACAAAACGTTTGTTTGCACGGAAAATACATTCCTGCCAAATATTTAGATTTTGTCAAATCAGCATTTTTAATGGAAAACTGTTCTGTTGGAAAATTTTTGACCAGATCTACTGGACATCTCATTAAGACATCATTTGAAAATTGTGCACCACCAACAAAACTACCAAAAACACTTCCTGTTGCGCCTTTCAATGTCCTTGGATATCTGCTTTCCAAGCACTTGTCAGACCCACTTCTGCTTAGCTTGTGAAGTCTGACAGGACCACAGTTTGATGATGTGGTATGGATGGAAGATGGTCACTTCTAGGACTGCAGAGTCGAATTTACCTCCATGCTACTCCTCTAACCTGTTTTATATTTCAGGGTTTTGCTTTTTTGTGGCTGATAAAAGGAATACAGTAGATGTCGAGTATTTGAATTTTAATAAAGCATTTCTTTGTGTCACAAAATCTTAATAGAAAAATATATTTAAATTAGCTGGGAGAGAGCTGCTATCATATGGATTTAAATCTGGCTGTGTATAAAGTTGTAGGGGGACTATTTTAATTTTCCTGGGATGTGATCCTGTAGGGTTCACTTCTGAGGACTCTCAACTCCTTTTAAATTGAAGTCAATAGAGTCAAGGATATTAAGGCTAAGATTTTTAAACCTCGGAGTCTAAATTTAGGGTCCCAGGTCCATACTTAGGTCTCTAAATAACTGGTCTGATTTTCATAAGTTCTGAGCAACCAACAGTGACTTCATTGGGAGTTCCTGGATGCTCAGAACTTAAAAATTAGGCTTGTTATTCAGGAACATACATAGAAATTTAGGAGCCTAACTGTAGGCTACTATTTTTTGAAAGTCTTTGTCTAAAAGTCTTGCAGGAGGTTCTCTGCATTTTACAGATTTAAACTACTGTTTTTCCTGTATCTCTAATTTCGTCCAGTGTAATGTTCCTCACTTGAGTTTTGGCAATGAAAACTAGGATTATGCGCTTCAAAGAGATCAGGAAGGGACCTGAGAGCTTGGCTGAAATCCTTGCTGCACACCCACTTGCCTGAGAGCTAACTATGATTTTATATTGTGATGTTTAATCAGATCTATAAAATGTAAACCACACTTCACCGGCATGTTTTGGCAAGTCCTGTTTTTAGCCATAAGGCTTCACTGATTTTTGGCTGCCATCTATCTATAGGAATGTAGACAGTTGTTTCTTTGTATCCAAAAGTAATGTGCTAAGAAGCAGTTTTAGAAATGAAACAAAATAAATTTATATAGAAAAGCATCACATTGGTTTTGCACTAACGTGTGGTTTTTGGTCTGCTTCTGCAATTTATGCTTCTGAAGGGAGTTACGTTTTTTCTGATCATAGACAATAGTGAACTATGTTTTTATGTGGAATTTACAGAAGGATGGAAATATCAGTACACAACTTAACTCTGATGTGTGCTCTTCTGAGACAAATTTAGAGCCAAATCCTCAGCTAGTGTACAGTTAATGTAGTTCCTCTGACTTCACTGAAACTATTCTGATTTATAATAGATCAGAATCTGTCCTATATTTTAGACCATATTTGTTTTATTCTGTTCTCAGCGTTAATAGTTTTGAATATCCTGCATGACAATAATATTGTAATGCTTTTTAAATGTGATCAATTACTCTAAACCTTACAAATTTTAATGAATGGTAGAGCAAACCTATCTGTCTGTCTAGTTATGTCTCCTGTGAGTGTCCATCATTGTAATATCCAAGTACCCTTGAAGAGGTAATACCCAAAATCACAATAAGTGAGGAATCTAATTTTCCTCTCTACTTCTCCCAAGACATTCACAAGATAGCTAAATAGTATATCACTTGAAATAATATGTCTGCAGAATATTAGCATTAAAACTTTGCAAAACATGCCACATATACTCTAATTTTATTTCTTGAATGTTGTTTCCTAGGAGCTAGAAAACTTAAAATCCCAAAACTGATTTACAGTAGCTGTACTTTTCATTCCGGTTTACGGTATTTCATCTAAGTGTTTGTGTTTTGGCTGCTTGTTTATGAGAGTTAGCAATCAAATTATTATCAATAAGTTTTGAAGTTTAGTAATCCATTAAGGTGAATATAGTCACGTCTCCTGAATATTGACACTGTCTCTGTCTGCAAACTCAGCAAAACAGAAATATATTGACATCGAGAATAAAGTTATCTTCACAATCCTAAGGTAGAGCTGAATGGTGAGGGCAATTGTGGGGATTCTATTTATTTTTAGAAAAAAGTATGTGGACAAGGCCATATTATACTGTACGTAACAGTATACTATGCAGATTGTACTGCAGCGCTGATAGGCCTAACGTGGTTCAGACAATTTTCTGGTTATAGTGTCTGTGGTTTGATGCTAAAAGTGGCAAACAAAAATGTCCCACTGCTATTAGCTTTTTGCGCTAGAGAACATTTAAACTAGTTCTGATTTTTTCCTCTAAGGATCCATCATACAGTTAAATAGTTTTTACATTAGCTCATGTAAGTGTTGCTGTATTAATTTCTGCAAATAATAATCAAATGTTAGTGAAAACATGATACAATATAAGTGGAGTGCAGAAGCCTGCTAATACTATACAACACTGTACCAAGAAATATAAGGGTAGAAATTATATTCAAAGACATTGATCTTCTCATTTAATAGTTTTTGTGTTTTAAAAAATGGTGCTTTCTACATTTCACTGAGCTCTTATAAAGACCAAAATTCTGAATGAGAAAGAATAAAAAAATCCAAAGAAGATGTCAGGCAGCAGGATTCCACTTACTTGTAAAGAGCCACATCACAAAATAGATACAACATAGGGGAAAGACTTCTAACAGTAGCAAGAGCTGTGGCAAATCTTGATGGATCCTTTGGCCATTTTAAGACCTCTCGATTTGTGAACTGGATGAAAGACAGCAGTGAAAATTTGAGATACTTACCTTACAACAGGTCAGTATCACAACATCAGCAAAACAGCCTGAAAAAGACTGGCCAGCTGTGTGGGGAAACTTTTAAAATACAGCTTTTTCCAGTTTTAGCCTAATTTTGAATATTGAATTCACTCTGTAAGGTATAGCCACAATCTAGCATTAATATTTACTTTCCTGGAAGATTAATAATTACTACTAACATTTTACTTTCTTCAAATTTCATTGGCTGGCTCCTGAATAATATTTGTCATGCAAACTATATTACAAAAGCTAGGTGTTGGTACATCCCTAGTAAAGTAGAGAGAGCCTAATTATTCTAAGTAATTTTTCCACTCTACTCCGTGCTGATTAGGCCTCAACAGGAATATTGTGTCCAGTTCTGAAGCCATATTTCAGGAAAGATGTGGACAAATTGGAGAAAGTCCAGAGAAGAGCAACAAAGATTATTAAAGGTGTACAAAAATATGACCTATGAGGGAAGATTGAAGAAATTGGGTTTGTTTAGTCTGGAGAAGAGGGGACATGAAAACGTT